TGTGTGGCCACACTGGGCGAACCTCCCCCGCGCCAGGTGGTCTGCTTCTCTGATCATTCATATTGCACGCCCAGGCGAAAGTCACCTAACAAGGCACAACAACGGGCTCGCCCCGCCCCGCCCCGCCTCCGCACACACACACAGCCCTCGTCGCGGCTATTGTCATGATAACTCAACTCACGACTCCCCCGCGGCGGCGGCGCGGCGGGCGCTGCCGTGTTTAACCGCACGGGCCACTGGAAAATAGTCGCGACGTCGCTGAAAAAGAAAGGGGGTCGTATTGCTAGAACAAGAGACAAATTTTACAGCAAGTACATTTTACAAGGAATTCTTTGGAACGTGTGGGTGATAAAAAGAAGGCCTACATCAGTTTTTCTAAATTTACTCGAATTTTTCCACCGTCGTGACGAATAATGTCGGAAATCCGACTGCCGGGGCCCGGCGTAACCGGGAGGGTCGCGAGACGCGAGACCACCGCGGGCTTGAGGCTCAGCGCGGCCCATCAAAATCACGTTAGCTTTAGGGTGCGGGCCGGAGCGTGTTCCGTCACGGTAAGACCCTCTCCTGACCTGTCGCAGGCTCCGGGCTCCCCTGACTCCGCTGACGCGCTGGCCGGCGCCCAGGCCGGCGCACCGCGGCCGAGGCCATGCACCCCCGCAAGGAGGCCCTGTGCCGGGTGTGCGGCGACAAGGCGTCCGGCAAGCACTACGGCGTGCCGAGCTGCGACGGCTGCAGGGGGTTCTTCAAGAGGAGCATCCGTCGGTAAGTAACACCGCCTCGCAGCCTCTTCTCCTTTATTCAGCTTCAACCGGCTTCAACTCTTTAGAAATGTGTTTGAAAACTTCAAAAAAATGGAACGTGCGTGTGACACTCCATCACTTGAAAGTGTTCAACTGGTTTAACAGCAGTCTCACTATACACACAAAAAGAGTGTGTGATGACAACAACCCTTTCTCCGCCACAACAGTGTCAACCAGAGCGGAGTGCGTGATGGAATGTCAACGCACTATGACTTGTAGAGTAATGTTCTGTGAGTCATTCCCATCATCGGCAACAGTCCTGACACAGGCACCTCCTCATCCCCCTCTTTCTCCTTCATCCCTGTTCTTTCCAGCGCTGCTCTCTCTTTACCCCTGTGCTGCCATTATTCTTAATTTGAGTTTCGCATGTTGAACCCTTAACCGCAGACGGGCGGGGTGAGAGAGGGAGGGAAGCCGAGCCCGGCCGAGCCTCCTCACGCCGACGACTACTTTTTCCTTCTCGTCACGTCGACAGTCTTGTCACGTGTCGTGACGGCGGTGTGTGACGACGCGACGGGACGCGCACAACAGCCACGCAACAAACACGACAACACGCAGGCGACCCGACGCAGCACCGACCCGACGTACTACATCATCAATTCATGGACCAATTAAAACTACATTTCCCGCTGCGACTGCAGATCGCCAGTCGAATAATCGATCCCTCGATTCCGCATCGGGGATGTCGATAAAAAATTTCCCACTGAGCGCAAGGGAGCAGGGCAAGAGAGGAAAGCTCACGTGAATGGTTGGCGGAAGGATCGGTCGAACGACCGGGTGCGGGCGGACGTAAGACGATGTAAGTGACGACTACTTTACTTTCTGTGTTCCGCACCCCACACACCGACCACAATTACGCAAATAGTATGTGTTCGCACTTTAAAACTTGAGAAAACCACTAAACTCGTCGAACGCTGGAATGGAACCAAACTTTCACACGGACTCTCACTTTTATTACGAATCGCCCAATACCCGCCAAGAGTACCGACAAATTGTTTGCAAGTCTCATATCATACAAACACAATGACCACGAACATTCCTTGTCGTTCACTTTACAGCGGTCAGATGCGTTTTGAAGATTTCTCCCGATTGCGGTGATCTAGCATTTTTCAAAAAGTTTGTCGAACGTCCAATTTGTTATTATGCTTATTCTATAAAAGTCTCTTCTAAGTTTGCATTTGGACGACTTACGTTTTAAATTCTATAGGGTGGGTGTCGTTCCTTTCTTTTCGAGGCGGGCAACAGTCTGGAGGTTGAGGGTTCCAAACTCTTCAAGCCCGAGGGGTAAAACTTCGTGGAGTTGTACTTTCGAATAACTCAGGGAAGGAAACGTTTTGGGGGTAACGGTTATACCTCTGATTTCGACCTCATAGGCGAGACGTCAGCTTCAGCGCCGCACGCGGTCACTGTAGCCTATCTCGAAAAAATAAATAAAATTCATGGCCTAAAACACCCACCCTGTATTTCTATTTCCTCGGGCCTCGTTCAGATGCCCCTTTCTGTTTTCTCTCCCTCCCCCGCTGCTGCTCTGCTCGTGACATTGGCACGGCGCGAAGTGATTCCAATGTAATGTCAGCCACGGTCCCATTATGCTCGGCGCGCAAACAGACCGGCGGGGCCGGGGCCGGGGCCGGGGCCGGGGCCGGCGGGGTGGACTAGATCAACAAGCGCTGCTTGCGCTCCTCCCGGGCTGGCCTGAGAGCTGGCTGGACCCGCGCGGCGCCAGGCGGGAGGCTAGGCGGAGCCTCTGGGCGGGGCCTGGCGCCTGGCAGCCTCGCTGTTTGCTGAGCCTGCCCGGCAAGGAATCTGCCCGGAGAGGAAACCACCTTCGCTGGCGCTAAAGTAGCAGTGTGTAGATGATTCGCGACTCGCACCATCGCGAAAAATTCGAAAGAAAATAGTGTACATTGTCCGCGGCAGCCGAATATTTTGCAGGCGCTGCATACTTCGGTGGCTGATGCACGCGCGCTTGCGTAGTTGGACTGCGACGCATGCGAGCGTGCAGACGGATTGCCAACCCCGAGAAAAATGTAACTGTGACATTTATGTCACGTGAAAATTGCTTCCGTTGTTCAGAAGGAAATTTCGAATTCTGTGTAAAGCCGAAATCGATTCGTTTAAGGGAATTCCCTTTAATTAACGAAAATTATTGTTAGATCAAAGTCAAACTTCATTTGGAACAACGGAAGCGCTTTTTGATGCGAAATCAAAGGTGTATACTCGTTTGCTGACGTCAGTGACGATAGGCAAATTCCGCTCGCACTCGTGCGTACGGTATATTCCAGACGAAAGTGGACGGGGAGAATCAGTCACCTACAGTATTTAAAGATTTTTAAGCAATAATTTCACGTGCTGCATTATTATACTTCTCTGTAACCCTATTTCAAGTTGAGGAAGTGCTAGGAGCTCCCGCTGGAAGCGCCACCACCGACATGCACGCCGTAATGTAGTAGTTCTCATACGCGGCTGACGCGGCTCTCGGGCCATGGCCGTTGCTCTACTGCCCGTTTCACGGATACAGGCTGGACGTGTCCCCCAGGAACCTGGCGTACGTCTGCAAGGAGGGCGGAGGCTGCACCGTGGACGTCAGCAGGAGGAACCAGTGCCAGGCGTGCCGCTTCAGGAAGTGCCTCGAGGTCAACATGAAGAAGGACGGTGAGTCGAGCGGGGAGAAAAGGAGAGGACGGGACGGGCGGGGCCTCAAGCCGCGAGTAGTGTTGACTCATGCAATTAGCGCCCCC